AATCACAGGAATGTCTCATCAGCTTAACAGGTTCCCGAGATAAGGGTACAGCATGTTTGGAGACCATTTTAGAAATTCCACCTATCAGTTCAACTTCTGGTCCCCAGATGTTCATGTTCCTCACAGATGGAAAATACATTCACCCTCTCACCTAAGGTTTCCAAGTTTCATGTCATTAATGCATTAGTTCAAAGTGAGAAATGTCATGTAGCTCTAATCTGATCGAAAGTTTAAAATCTCATTTAAATCATCCATACCAAGTGAAAATGAGGCTTCTGAGGGTGTCCATTAAGTACAGAGTCTTTTTTTGTTGTTTTTGAGAGTGAGTAGTCTTAGTCTGTCACCCATGCTGGAGTGCAGTGGTATGATGTTGGTTTACTTCTGCCTCCTGGGTTCAAGTGAGTCTCCTGCCTCAGCCTCTCAAGTAGCTGGGATTATAGGCATGCACCATTGCATTCAGCTATTTTTTTTTTCTGTATTTTCAGTAGAGGTGGGGTTTTGCCCTGTCGTCCAGGCTAGTCTCAAACTGCTGACCTCAGGGGATCTGTCCCCCTCCGCCTCCCAAAGTGCTAGGATTATGGGCATGAGCCACCGTGCCGGCCCAAGTATAGATCCTTGATGTAATTCTTTTACCTCTGTTGACCTGTGAAACTGAACAAACAGCTTATCTGTTCTCAGTGTACAATGGTGGGACAGTCACAGGATAACACTGCTTGTTATTCTTGTTCAAAAAGAGGGAAAGTGGATGGAACAAAGTCACTGATCTAAAACCATTTTGACATGTGGCTGAGCAAAGTTCAGCAGGAATTTCTTGATTAGGCTCCACAGCCCGGAACTAACCCTCTGTGACAGGGGGCTTTACCTCCAGGCTCTGCATTTTTTTCTATTGTTATTGAAAACATTTTATTTTCCTTCTTCTCCTACTCTTTTCATCCTTCCCCTTTCTCCTCATGGCAGCATCCTCCACTTAATCCTCGTTGCATCATCCCAGCAGTATTGGTCAGATATTGCCTGTGTCACGGTCCTGACCATCTCCACAGGGGCTGTCCTTTTCAGCCCATGCTCCTCTTCACTGAGCTGACCTCTCTGCCGTAGCAGTGGATGCTCTTCTGGTCAGTGTGGGTTAGAGGCAATAACCATGTTGGAGAAGGGTGGGAGACGTCCATTCTTCCATTAAACGGCTCTGCACTAGGTCAAGTGCCAGAGTAAGTGTCCCTTGCTTGTATATGAATCAATGATACTTATAATATTCTTCTGCACCTTCACTTGAGGGAAGTTTCTCATAAATATTTATTGAGTATTTAATTTTCTTTATACTGTGCTAAGCACGTGGGATTCAGGTATTTAATGTCTCTAAAGAAACTCTAGCCAGTGAGTGGAAGAACACACACAGATCATTTCAACAAGATACGGTAGTTCTACCCAACTGAGGTGTTGTGGCAGCCTGGAGGATGGGAGCGTATGTCAAAGGACATTGCTCCTAATGACAGGGGGAAGCATAAAACTGAGGTGTTGTGGCAGCCCGGAGGATGGGAGCGTATGTCAAAGGACATTGCTCCTAATGACAGGGGGAAGCATAAAAGAACATTTTCAGGACAGACTAGTCTTCCTTGAAGTTCCCACAGAAGAGGCTCCTGAGCATGGATGGTGTAGGGCAGGTGCCTCTCTAGGGAAGGGGATTTGCAGCATTTTCAGAGAAAGAGCATCCCTTACAAGACAGTGGGGACAGAAATGTAGGTGAAAGAATTGGAGGTGTGTACTCAACTTTATTCAGTCATGGATGAACACTGCTGAGAGGCCCCTCTGTGCTGGGCCCTTAGCTAAGAACCATGACCACAGAGGTGAGTAAAATAGGATCCCAGCTTCCACACAATGCTCAGTCTAGTGACTGGTGATTCATGAGAAGCGCAGTGTTGTTGGGTTCATTGGAACCGGTGGCCCATGCCTCATGCGATGACCTCAGTGGATGGCCTGGGCCAGTGACCCTGGAGTTCAGCTATATTTCAGCATCTTGAGGTACAGTACACCAACACCTCAACTCCATGTTGAGTCAAAGCAGTTAACATAGCCAAGGTCTTTTAAATTTGTCCTTGCCATAATGATATATAACTTTATCTATAATGAATTATATTCTGATAAATTAATTATAATTTGCCATAATGAGAAATAACTTTATCCTGAGTACAGCAGACACACAAGCCCTTGAGGACACATGCCTGAGGATTCTGATGAAGATACGTTGTCCAAATATGTGCACAGTTGGACCTACAGGCCAGCTTTGAAACAGTGGAAGACCTAGTTTCAAATTCAAGGCTGCTTTGAGTAGAAATTCACTTTACCTCTCTTTGCATGGCAATGGGGCCAATCTTCCTTAAGCTATCCCATACAAGAAAAGGAATCATACTGGTAAGAATTCAGACTTCAGCACACATGTGTAAGGAAGTCTTGTAAATCTGTTGTAGCCACCTAGCAAGAAACCAGAAATTTAGCAAGTTCATTCACATTCAAAACAGTTGTGTTCACTAGATCAGAGGCCCTGAGACATGAAGAACATACCCTCTAACAAGGGAAAGTGTTTCTTCCTGTCCTAGGACATCACTGCCAACTTTAGGGAAGAGGGAACACAGCTGCCCGCTTTACAGTATGGGCTGCTTTTGTGCCTGGAATGTGCCTGACATCCCGAGACCTGTACCCATTTCAGGGAGCCTTGAGAGGAGCCTGAATCACTGATGGAATTGCACAGTGCATGGAGATGGTTGAGCAGGACGAGGGTAAGTGCAGGGGCATGGCCAGGTCATACTGGGAGACAGTGAGCGGCCCTGATGGGGACAGACAAAGATAAAATCAAACGTTTGTGCTTCAGTGTCAAAAATTCAAACCAATAACTAGTTTGCTTTCATAAGCAATAAGTATTTTTCTATTTACATGAGAATTTAATCTCAAAAAAGAAGTCATAAAAATAGTAAGCCCAGGGCATAAAACCTAAACTATAGCTCATATTTATTCTTTCTAAATAGAGCTATTCGTAAAATCTTCTTCTTTCTTTCTTTTTTATTTTGAGACAGAGTCTTGCTGTCACCAGGCTGAAATGCAGTGGTGCAATCTTGGTTCACTGCATCCTCTGCCTACCGGGTTCAAGCGATTCTCCTGTCTCAGTCTCCCAAGTAGCTGGGACTACAGGCATGTACCACCACTCCCGGCTAATTTTTGTGTTTTTAGTAGAGACAGGGTTTCATCATGTTGGCCAGGATGGTCTCAATATCTTGACCTCATGATCCACCCACCTCGGCCTCCCAAAGTGCTGGGACGACAGGAGCAGGCCACCGCACCTGGCTGACTTTTGCCTTCTTATATTCACAATATTCAGGTTTCTTACCTGATTCTTAGGATAACAGCATTACCTTGAGGATGATGATGCAGATATGCTGTCCAAATATGTGCACAGTTTTGAGCAAAATGCCTGGTACAAATTGATCAACAAATAATTACTGAATAATTGTATGAATATTTACTGAATG